AGGAAAGGATGCAGCAAAAGGCAGAGAGCTTAGGCCCCTTCTGCTCAGACGCTCCTTCTTTGGCCCCCTGCTCCAGCACTGCCTCAATCTCGTCTGTTTTTAAGCCTCTCCTTTGTGTGGCTCTGTGGCTTGCAGTGTTTGTGGGGCTGGCTGGTCAGGTGCCTGCTCCCTTCTGTCCTGCCACACCTCCTCTCTCCTCATGCTCAGCCGGGCAAGCCTGGAAACACAGGCCACAGCCATCTTCCTCCCCTTCCCCAACGTCCTCAGCCTGTCAGCAATTGCGCCCAACCAGTACCCAGCAGGTGACCGTGTGGGCTAGTGCTGGGCATTTCAAACGGGTCGCGGGCCTGCCCGGGGAAGCCACCGCTGGGCCCCGAGATGCTTTGTTTATCCAAATGTCCGTAGGCCCAGAGCCTCGCAACAGCCCTTGGCGGGAAGCGGTGAACTTCTGCGAGGGTCTGGGCCTGTGGACCCCCACAAAGCATCTCCTGGCTTACCTAGGTGGGCCCGCAACCCAACTGTGAACCCCCCGGCACAGCACATAAACCATCAGGTGACATTCCCGGAATAAATAACCTCCCAGGAAATTCCTCAGTGGCCAGGAGTGGCTTGGGCCTCGCAGGACATTTGTGGTCGTCTCAAGAATCCCCTCGCTGTCTGAGGCCGGGAGCGGCCATTGCTCCAGTGTTGCTGGAGAGCGGACGCTGGGCAGGGTGGCTGTTCTGACGCTCTCCTACACTGAGCTCAGCAGGTTCTGTGGCTTTAGGAATCCTGCTCCTACCATGGCCTCTCTTCCATGGGGTTTTGGCTTCCCCAGGCTACCAGCCTGGGTGTTGATTTGGCTGCTGTGTCTTCTGGATCCCTGCTGCTGTTCTCGTTTCTCTGTCAGGAGCCTGACAAATAGAGATCGTGGTTACAGCCGTGTACTTGTGTGCAGGTAACACCACAGGTCTTGGAGTGCTGCGAACGGTGCCCCCCCGCACAGCAGGCAGAGGGGAAAGGCCGTTCCTCTCCCCAGCTGGTTGTATTCAGGGTGCAGAGAGCTGTTAGTGCCTGAGAAGGCAGAGTTGAGATTTAGGCCGTGATCTTGTTTGTTGTTACTTAGCAGCACCCTCTGGCTCGGGAACACCTGGCGCAAAGTCCAGAATCAGCCCACCCAGGGTCTGGGCTGGTTTGGGGACCTATAATCTGCGGCTCGCAGAAGGGCCCCAGCCAACAGCAGCGTGGTGGAGGGGGTGGGCGTCTGTCCCCTAAGGGGAGGCCAATACCAACTAGGCAGGGAGACCCACATCCACGGGGGAACCTCCAGGGAGATGGAGCACATTCGACCTGCTTTTCCTCTTGCCTCGCTCTCCAGTGTCTGACGCAGATGCCGGTTCTGCCTGGCTGGGGGCTCGTGCTCTGCCTTTTTGGTCTGTTCATACGCTGCCTGGCCATGGGGCCCTGGTTTGTGAGGAGGCTGCTCGGCTTTGGGGCACATGGGGGGTGTCCAGTGTGGATTTCGGAGGTGGTTTCTCTTTGCAGACGCTGTTTCCAGTAAGCTGCAGAACAATAACGTTTACACCATTGCCAAGAGGAACGTGGAAGGCCAGGACATGCTCTACCAGTCTCTGAAGCTCACCAACGGCATCTGGATCTTGGCTGAGCTGCGTATTCAGCCCGGAAACCCAAATTACACAGTAAGCCCCTTCGGCACTTGGCGGGCAGGGGAAGACCAGGCACCCTTCCCAGCCGTCTCCGATCAAAGGCAGCATGCTGGGAAGAAGCACCTTTCGGGTCTGTTCGTTTCAGCCCCAGGGCAAGGGCAGAGTTAGGAAGCCACTGATGTCAGTGGCCCACTGAGCTAAAGGAATGCTGACTCAGCAGCAGGTGTTTAGTGGCCTGGCCTGTTACCATCCGAATTTGCCACAAAACATGGACGCACAAGCATTGTCCTAGTTCTCCCCAGCCCCTGCCAGCAAGCAGGGCTAGCGCAGGGAGGGAAGATAGCTCAGTGGTTTGAGCATTGGCCTGCTAAACCCAGGGTTGTGAGTTCAATCCTTGCGGAGGCCATTTGGGGCAAAAATTTGTCAGGGATGGTACTTGCTCCTGCTGTGAAGGCAGGGGACTGGACTTGACCTTTCAAGGTCCCTTCCAGTTCTAGGAGATAGGCAATCTCCAATAATTTAAGGGTTCCCTTCTGCCCCGCTGCACTGCTGAAGCAGAGCCTGGCTGTCCAGACTTGGGAGGTTCCCTTGGCCTTGCTCAAAAGCAAGCGCCCTGCCAGCTCCTGTGTGTAGCCACTTCCTTGAACTCCTAGCTGCTGAGGGCGTCTTGCCCCTGCCTTGAGACACGCAAGGTGCAGCCTGGGGGGCCCTGCATGTGGAAAGGGAGCAATTTGAACCATTGGCAAAGGGAGCTTGGCTTTGTGGTCCCTCCCTCGCTGTCCCAGAGTGCAAGCGGGACTCAGGGCTGCTACTGAGGTGATGGTCCTGAGCCAGCTGCGTGCCACTGGCACTGCGGGTCCATGCGGGTCCGTGGGCTCTTGGGAGCACGCAGGCTCCCCTCTGAACATCAGCGCAAGCTGGTGAATCACAGCGCTGCAGAGGAAGCCATCACATGCTGGGCTTCCGCTTACACTTCCGCTGCTCACTTCCAGTGCTGTCCCAAGCTAGCTAGCGCCACACACAAGGGCTGCCTGCTTTTGTGTGTCTCAGCGCTTCAGCGCTTCGGCAGGAAATAGCAGGAGGCCAGCAACTGGGACTAATATTTAAAGTTCTGTGTGAATTAAACCCCCACTTCTCCCCAAAAAAACCCAAACATACCTGGCACCCTGGAAAACACGGTGGTAACTGCACTACCACAGTGTGGCTGTCACCCCTTGAGGTTGGAGGCTGCTGCTATAGCAGAGTTACGGGATATGGGCTTTTAGCCCAACTACAAGCACATGCTTTGAGAGCCGCAGGCTCCCGGGTTTGGCCTTGAGTCAGCCCAGCGCAAGGCACGCAAGAGACAGGGCAGAGGAGCTTGACGAGCGGCGATGGGAAAGTATTCCCTGTGCCCTCGCCTACCTGTTCTTAGGCCAGACTGACTCCTTCTTAGACATCTGAATTCAGCACCAGCCTCGGGTAGTGGGTGACACGACCTGGTAGCTGAAACTCCCCAACCTTGCTGTGTGCTGGATGGGGCAGGGTGTGGATTGAATGCAGGGAAATGGATCCGAAGAGCCCAGCACGCTTCCTAGTGGGGATGGGCTGTGTTAGCCGCTGCCTTCTGATGCTGACGTGGTCTTCGTGTCTCTCCTAGCTGTCCCTGAAGTGCCGGGCTCCTGAAGTGTCCCAGTACGTCTACCAGGTCTACGACAGCATTTTGAAAAACTAAAGTCGGCTCCACGTCTCACCCCACAAAGGGAGGAGGGGAGGCTCCAGCTACTCCCACTATCGGTGCAGGCAAAGAACTCTGACTGGAAGCAGCTGTATTCATGTGTAGGATTTCAGTCAAGCGCACCGAGAAACCAAGGTAGCAATTAGTATCCACATGCTAATAATAATCGGGAACAACCGTTTGATATTTTTAGCGTCCATGAAAACTTTGTAACCACTGCTTTGTCCACTCCCCCGTCCCCCGGTGCCACGGTTCTGTCGTTCTTCCTTGTGGGCGTGTCCATCTCGTGCCAATGTTTAGCGTTTTCTAAACCGCGCTCGGCGGAGTTGCTCTTTTGTAATAGATGGCTCATTGACGACCCGAAAAAGACAAGTCTCTGTTCATTAAAACAAGGCCAAGGCATCCTGGAAACACAAACTGCACTTTATTATTTTATATTTTTTATACGTTCAGGTTGTTTTTTGTATTGTAACCAGATGAGAAAGGGAAGAAAAGATCCAGCTGCGCCTGAGCAGGGCAAGTGCTCAAGAGCGCACGGGTGAGCTAGGAGTAGCCTTGGTGGGCTGGAGGGAGCTCTAGAGAGAGCGTTGGGATGGACCTGGGCTGGGGCGTTCCATTGTCCCTCGTGCCACGCCCGCCTGCAGCCCAGGGGCTCAGAAGTGGATCTGCTTTGCCTGGGGATGCAGGAGCTGGCAGCTGAGGGCGAAGAGGAAGGAGGCGGCTGGTCTGACTCCCAGGGTGCCCGGCCCTTGGCAGAGCAGGGGGTGTGGTCATTGTCTCTTCTTTCCTGCTCTTCTCCGTGTCTTGTCTTATAGAATCCTAGAGCTGGAAGAGACCACAGGAGGTCATCAAGTCCAGCCCCCTGCTCTAGGCAGGACCAATCCCAACTAAATCAACCCGGCCAGGGCTTTGTCAAGCCGAGACTTAAACACCTCTAGGAATGGAGGCTCCACTACTTCCCTAGGTAACCCATCCCAGTGCTTCACCACCCTCCTCGGGAAATAGTTTTTCCTAATCTCCAACCTGGCCCTCTCCCACCACAACTTGAGACCATTGCTCCTTGTTCTACCATCTGTCCCCACTGAGAACAGCCTCTCTCCATCCTCTTTGGAACCTCCCTTCAGGAAGTTGAAGGCTGCTATCAAATCCCCCCACACTCTTCTCTTCTGCAGACTAAACAGACCCAACTCCCTCAGCCTCTCTTCGTAGATCATATGCTCCAGCCCCCTAATCATTTTGGTTGCCCTCCGCTGGACCCTCTCCAATGCGTCCACATCCTTTTTGTAGTGGAGGGGCTAGAACTGGACACAATCCTCCAGATGTGGCCTCACCAGAGCCGAATAAAGGAGAATAATCACGTCTCTGGATCTGCTGGCAATGCTCCTCCTAATGCTCCCTAATACGCCATTAGCCTTCTTGGCTATAAGGGCACACTGTTGACTCATATCCAGCTTCTCCTCCAAAAGTAACCCCCAGGTCCTTTTCTGCAGAACTGCTACTTAGCCAGTCGGTTCCCAGCCTGTACCAATGCTTGGGATTCTTCCATCCTAAGGGCAGGACTCTGCACTTCTCCTTGGTGAACCTCATCAGATTTCTTGTGGCCCAGTCCTCCAATTTGTCTAAGTCAATCTGGACCCTATCTCTGCCCTCAAGCGTATCTACCTCTCCCCCTAGCTTAGTGTCATTTGCAAACTTGCTGAGGGTGCAATCCATCCCCTCATCCAGGTCATTAATAAAGATATTGAACAAAACCGGTCCTAGAACCGAACCTTGGGGCACTCCACTAGAAACCGACCGCCATCCTGTCATCGAGCCATTGATCACTACCCGCTGGGCCCGGCCTTCTAGCCATCTTTCTGTCCATCTTACCGTCCATTTATCCGATCCACATTCCCTTAACTTGCTGGCTAGAATATTGTGGGAGACCGTTTCAAAAGCCTTGCTAAAGTCAAGGTATATCACATCCACTGACTTTCCCACGTCCACGGAGCCAGTTACCTCATCATAGAAGCTAATCAGATCGGTCAGGCATGACTTACCCTTCGTGAATCCCTGCTGACTATTCCTAATCACTTTCCTCTCTTCCAAGTGCCTCAATATGGATTCCTTAAGGATCCCTTCCATGATTTTTCCAGGAATCGAGGTAAGACTGACCGGCCTATAGTTCCCTGGATCGTCCTTCTTCCCTTTTTTGAATATGGGCACTACATTTGCCTTTTTGCAATCATCCGGGATCTCTCCCGATCTCCACGACTTTCAAAGATAATGGCCAAAGGCTCCTCAATGACATTTGCCAACTCCCCGAGTACCCTGAGATGCACTAAGTCCAGACCCATGGATTTGTGTACATTTAGCTTTTCTAAATAGTTCCTAACCTGTTCTTTACGCGCAGAAGTCCAGGAGCTGACCTTGTCCGTGAATACAGAGGCAAAGAAAGCATTGAGTACTTCAGCTTTCCCCACATCATCTGTCACTAGGTTACCTCCTTCATCCATTAGGGGCCGCACACCCTCTCTGATCACCTTCTTCTTGTTAACATGCCTGTAGAAACCTTTCTTGTTATCCTTCATATCTTTAGCCAGTCGCAATTCCATTTGCGCTTTTGCCTTCCTGATAACCCCCCGGCATTCTCGAGCTATACCTTTAAATTCCTCCCTGGTCATTTGTCCAAGTTTCCACTTTTTGTAAGCTTCCTTTTTTTGCTTAAGTTCACCAAGGATTTCCCCTGTAAGCCAATCCGGTCTCCTACCATGTTTGCCTCTCTTGCTACGCGTCGGGATGGTTTCTTTCTGTGCCTTCAATAAGGCTTCTTTAAAATACTGCCAGCTGTCCTGGACTCCTTTCCCCTTCATGTTAACATCCCAGGAGTTTCTGCTCATCAGGTCTTTCAGGGAGTCAAAATCTGCTTTTCTAAAGTCCAAGGTGTGTATTTTACTACTCTCTTTTCTTCCTTTGGTCAGGATCCTGAAATCTACCATCTCATGATCACTGCTTCCCAGGTTGTCACCCACCTCCACTTCCCCTATTAGTTCCTCCCTGTTTGTGAGCAGAAGGTCAAGCTGCGCACGGCCCCTGGTCGGATCCTTCAGCACTTGTGTCAAGAAGTTATCCCCAACATTCTTCAAAAACTTCCTGGATTGCCTGTGTACTGCCGTATTGGTCTCCCAACACATCAGGGTGATACAGGTCCCCCACGAGAACCAGGGCCTGCGATCTGGAAGCTTCGCTCAGCTGTCCGAAGAAAGCCTCATCTACCTCATCACTGCTGTTGTTTGCACCTTTAAACTTAACCCATAGACTCTCAACAGGTTTTTCTCCCTCTTTATACTGGAGTTCAGAGCAATCGTAGTGCTCTCTTACATATAGTGCAACTCCTCCTCCTTTTCTCCCCTGCCTGTTGTTCCTCAACAGTCTATACCCTTCCATGACAGCACTCCAGTCATGCGAGTCATCCCACCAAGTCTCTGTTATCCCAATTAAATCATATTTCTTGGACTGGGCCAGGGTCTCCAGTTCTTCCTGTTTGTTGCCCAGGCTTCTCGCATTAGTGTACAAACACCTCAGATAGGGCGATCTTCTCCATTCGAAACAGGGGTCCTCCTTTCTTGCTCATTCCTCTCTGCATTTCTTCCCGGTATATGACTTTCCCACTCCCCTCAGGGTTTTGGTCACCGTCCCCCAAGGAACCTAGTTTAAAGCCCTCCTCACTAGGTTTGCAAGCCTGCCCGCGAAGATGCTCTTTCCTCTCTGTTAGGTGGATCCCATCTCTTCCTAACAATCCTTGTGCCCGGAACAAAGTCCCATGGTTGAAGTAACCAAAGCCCTCTCTGCGACACCATCTGCGCAACCATGCATTTACGTCCTCAATTCGACGATCCCTGCCCAGTCCTTTCCCTTCAACAGGGAGGATGGACGAGAACACCACTTGCGCGCCGAATTCTTGGATCCTTCTTCCCAGCGCTACATAATCCGCAGTAACCCGCTCAAGGTCATTCTTGGCCATATCGTTAGTTCGCATGTGGAGAAGCAGGAAGGGGTAGCGATCCGAAGGTTTGATGAGCTTGGTAAGCCTCTCAGTTCCATCCTGAATTCGAGCTCCTGGTAAGCAGCACACCTCTCGAGATTCCAGGTCCAGATGGCAGATGGATGGCTCAGTTCCTCACCCATCTTCCTGCCCCTGCCTGTCTGCGTTCCTCCCTGCAGCTTCCGAGTGCTGCACCGGGCTGTGCCTAGCTCCCAACGCTGTCCGCTGCCTCCCGGCGGAGGGTGGTCACAGCCATTTTTCTGTGGTCCTTGAGCACTTGTGTGCGGAGGGAGGGATTGCACAAGCCGCAGGGCATGGCAGCATCTGGCCGTGTGCGTTAGGGGTACGAGGAACAGCCTGGGATGTTCCCCTATAGTTCCTGTCCCTGGCGTGGGAAAGCCATTTCTCCCAGTGTCCTGCAAACTTGCAGCCAGACTTGGCTTAGGGGAAGGCCCCATTCTCCAGGGCTGCAGAGGAGAGCTACTGAGACGCTGACGGGAAATTGCCCTCCCAAACCTGAGACACCCAAAAGGAAATGCCTCGTGGCAGGGGAGAGAGTTGTGTGCAGCCTCCTGCCTCACTTGGACCTACCCAACCCTCCCATGCAGCACGCAAGGTGATCTCACGGGCTTGCTCTTTCCATGCCTTGCGGTGACTTGGGCCCTTGCGTGCCTTGTGGCTGAAGCTCACTGGCATGCAGACATGGGCCTCCAAGGGGGTAGGACGGCTGCTTGGTCTTTCCACGAGCCAGCGAGTTGCCTTGTCCCAGGCCAGGAGCTGCAGTAGAGCTCAAGCTGGAATGAAAGTGGGGCCACTCGGCTTCCCCCAGAGTGACGGGCTGCCCTCGGAAGGACCATCTGTTCATGGCCGCCCCCATGGCCTGGTGCAGGGCTGCCTGCCGTGCTGCGTCTGCTCCTGAGGTGCAGCACAGGGTGTCGTGATGGGGGGGAGGCCACCGAGGATCAGCCTGGGCTGAGGGGGGGGCCACTGAGGGTCAGTCTGGACTGGGGGGGGGCAATCCAGCTTGAAGCAAGGGAAGCTTGGGCGCAGCAGGGGGGTGGGGTGCGGGGCAGTGTCTGGCACCGTGAATCCAGGCTGGGCAGAATGTGGGACAGAGCTGCCGGCCTGGCTGCCAGCATCAGGAGCCCTGTGGGCCACTGGGCTGCGAGCACCTCAGACCCAATTACCACAGAAATGAGTAAAGGGCCGGGTGTACAAGCTGGCCCTCGGAGCCAGAAAGGACCGCTTCCCCTGGGGAGCTGAGCTGTGGGCCTGGGAGGGGTGGGCAGGGTGTGAAGGGGCAGCAGGGGAAAGCCCAGGTCTCTCTGCCAAGGGAGGTCAGTTCTGCACGAGCCCCAGTGTGCCCCTAGGTACGTTGCTGACTCCTGGGCACTGCTGCTCTGCGAGCCTGTCCCGCACCCTCCAGCCCTGGGAAAAGCGGCGGAGGATCCCTGGGAATAAGGACCCGAGTCTCGCTCCATTAAAGCCACCGAAAAGCCCAAACCCAGGAAAGAATAAACACCCCATAGCAAATCCCCTGCCTGCCTCCCCCGCCCAGTGTCCATGCATCTCCTGGGCCCTGCTATGTGTGCATGCTGTGAAGAGGGGCTGGCGGGAGGGGGAGCCAGAGGGCCAGGGGGGTGTGTTGTTCGCTGTCAGCACCATTCCATTGTACTGCATAGCCACTCTGACGTGCTCCCTGCGGGGGAAAGCTTTGCCTTGTGTCCTTGTCAATAAACTTGTCATTTACACTCACGCCCAGCTGTGGTGTGTCTCTGGGGGGGGGGGTTGGCAGGGTGCACTGGGTTCCAGGCTGGCGGATGTCACTGGAGCACCTGATAACTGAAGCCGTGTGGAGAAGGAAGAAGTTGCAGATGTGGCCTTTACTGAGGCTTTTTGCTACAATTTTCTCTCAAACAAGCTAGGCAAATACAACCTAGATGGAGTGACTGTAAGGTGGGTGCAGAACTGGCTGGAAAACTGTTCCCGGGCTGTGTCTAGACTGGCAAGTTTTTCCCCAAAAGCAGCTGCTTTTGCGGAAAAACTTGCCAGCTGTCTACACTGGCCCTTTTGCGCAAAAGCTTTTGCCCGAACGGGAGCAGCATAGTATTTCCACAAGAAGCACTGATTTCTTACATGAGATCATCAGTGTTCTTGCGGAAATTCAAGCGGCCAGTGTAGACAGCTGGCAAGTTTTTCCGCAAAAGCGCGTCTAGACTGGCCATGGATGATTTTGCGCAAAAGTGCTTTTGCAGAAAAGCGTCTGTGCCAATCTAGACCCTCCTTTCCGCAAATGCTTTTAACGGAAAGCTTTTCCGTTAAAAGCATTTGTAGAAAATCATGCCAGTCTAGACGTAGTCCAAGAGTGATCCTCAGAGATTCACAGTCAAGCTGGAGGGGCATAGCCAGGGGGGTCCCCTTCTGCTCAGTGTCTTCAGCGATCAGGACCGGCCCACAACGTTTTTGCACCTGAGACGAGGAGCTCAGATGATGCCCCCATGCTCCCTCGCTGCACTAGCAGCAGACACAATTTTCTACACTCTGGGTCCTAGGGGTGCCCCCCCCACACACACACAGTCTGGCACCTGAGGTGGCCGCCTCAGTTTGCCTCAGGGTAAGTCCAGCCCTGTCATTGATGGTGTAGAGAGCACGTGTCATGTTTGCAGGAAGGGGCTGCCAGTGCCTTGGAAGCCAGGACTAAAATCCAAAATGATCTGGGCAAACTAGGGAAATGCTCTGAAGAAAACAGGATCAAATTCAATCAGGAGAAATACAAAGCACTCCACTCAGGCAGAATTGTTACCTGCACACCTACAAAAGGGGAAATGCCGGCCTCGGAGGGAGCACTGCAAAAAGGAATCGTCATGGCCCACAAGCTAAATATGAGTCAACAGTGTGAGACTTGCAAACCTCCATCTGGGCTGCGTGAACAGGAGTGTTGTGAGCAAGACACGCGAAGTCATTCTCCCGCTCTACTCTGTGCTGATTAGGCCTCAATTGGGAGTGCTGTGTCAGGAAAGATGGGGGGAAATTTGAAGCAGTCCTGAGAAGAGCAATAAAAAGGATTGAAGGTCTGGAGAACACGAGGGAAGATTGAAAAAACTGGGGTTGGATTAGCCTGGGGAAGCGATCTAACAAGTCTTCAAATACACAGACAATTGTGATATAGAGGTCAGTGATAAATTATTCTCCTAAACAGCTCAGGCCAGGGTGGGAAGCCAGGGGTTTAAACTGCAGCAAGGGCAGTTTCAGTTGGACATTAAGAAAAACTTCCTAGCTGGCAGGGTATTTAAGCACTGGTGTGAATTACTTAGGCCCCGTGTGGAATCTCCAGTGCTGTAGGGCGTTTTAAGAACAGGTTGGACAAACACCTGGTCTAGATAATGCTGAGTCCGGCCTCAGTGCGGGGACTGACGCGATGACCCATCACCGTCCCTTCCACTCCTACATGGCTATGATTCTATAACTCCACCCTCCTGTGCTGGCTGCCAGCTGCACCCAGAAGCTGTACAGGTTGCCGTGAAAATGAGAAGCCAGCAGAAATCCAAGCTGGCCCAGTCCCTCCCCACCTCCGGGCCCCACAGGCTGGCGTTTCCTGCAAGCCAGGCGAAGCGGGTGTGTGACCGCCCAGCACAGCTGGGAGCAGAGGAACAGTGCTTCTATTTTTAGCTCGGCTGTGAGATGATGCATGGGGGCTTTTTCAGACACTGCTACAGGAAGTGGGAGGGACCAGCAGGGCTGATTCCCAGGCAAAGGTGGTGGTTTTAGCTGAACACAAACAGCCCCGTTCTTTGAGGGTCACGCCGATTGACGTCAGTCTGGTCACATCTGCTGGCCACCAATGGAGATAAGCTCACCTCAAGTTTTAGCAAGTGGGCAAGTCACTTAATCTCTGTCTCTGCTCCTCTACACCCTGCCTCACGGGGCTGCGCTCTAGGGCCATGCATGTGCCTAAAGCAATAAAAGGAAATCCTCTGCAGCACGTGTTTAACCAGTGGAACTCACTGCTCTCAGGGGTCCTGTAAGCAAAGAGCGGAGCAGGATTTAAAGGAAAAGACTGGATGTGTCTGTGGCGAGAAAGAAGGCCCATGGGGACGTGAGACAAATGAAGGGTGTGTAAGAGATGCAAACCCTCAGACATCAACCTCTAACAGCTTGGGGGTTAGGGGTCAGGTCAGCCCACAACTGCCCAAAGGGAAGTGAGTGTTCCCCTTCATTTGGTGCTGGCAAGGAAACATCTGGAGTATTGCATCCAGTTCTGGCCCCCCCCTCTCCCCCCATTACAGAAAGGATGTGGATGCATTGGAAAAAGTCCAACAGAAGGCAACAGAAATGATTAGGGGGCTGGAGCACATGACCTATGAGGAGAGGCTGAGGGATTTGGGCTTGTTTAGTCTGCAGAAGAGAAGAGTGAGGGGGGAGTTGATAGCAGCCTCCAACTCCCTGAAGGGGGATTCCAAAGAGGCTGGAGAGAGGCTGTTCTAGATGGGGACAGATGACAGAACAAGGAGCAACGGTCTCAAGTTGCAGCAGGGAGGTCTGGGTTGGACATTAGGAAAAACTTGATTCTGCGATTCCCTTCCTCTAGCTGCTTGGCCCAACTCCCACCCCATGATCAGAGGAGACTGTAAGCTCCTTTGGGCAGGGACTGCCCTGGCTGGGCCCAGGGCAGGGTTGCCAGGTGTCCGGTTGTCACCCAGACAGTCTGGTAATTGCGTTGTCTGTCTGATTAAAAAAAACCCAGAAAATACGGCAAGGCCGGTGGGGACATTTCCCCTGCAATGACCTTTTTTTGGTTTTTTTTTTGCTCAACCAGTTTTTTTCCCACCTCGTTCGAGATTTTTTTGTGAAAGTATCTGGCAACCCCAGCCCAGGTCACACCTGCTCTGAACAAGGGTGAAGGGCACTGGGGCTGCTCTCAAATGCACAAAGCACTTGATTGCCAAGAGACACCAGCCAGCCTGGGGGCTGAGGTTTCAGACGCCGCTGGGCTGGAACCCCCCAAGGTTTAGAGCACCCTCCCATCCAGGGGTAGCACTGCTTGTGGCAAACCCTTCTGCTGCCTTCCCCCCAGCAGGGTACCAGACCGGCTCGGGCACATGGGGCCTCTGGAGAGAGGGGCTGGTACAGCCCCCAGCTGCTTCTGCTGCTGAGACCTCGGGTGGGCAGTGCCAGTGTGGGGCAGAGGAGCCAGGAGCTGTTCGTAGGATGATCGTGGGAGAAAGACGAATCGATTCCTTGCGCAGAAGCCCTCGGGGGAGCATGGTGGAAAATCCGAAGCCTGCGTCCTTGCGTTTGCTCACATGCCACAACAAAGCAAAGGCGGCTGGGAGGCTCACTGTGATGAATCGTGGCTGGCAACGGAGTGGGGACGGGGGCAGGGCAGCGGATGCTAAGAAGATGGTGCTGAGGGGGACATGCCTCGCTTTGGGTAAGGCCTAGAGCTTGGTTTGGAACCAAAAACTGCTCCAGTTCTCCATAGGCCCTACAGCAGGCTTGCCCCCCTGGGAAGGAAGAGACCTTCTGGGCTTCCCTCTCATGAACCGGTTCCCATTTAACGAACATGCTGGCTCCCCCGCCCACGAGACCGGCTCTCTCTGCCCCCAAGTTATGTGGCTTGGGGCAGGGGCAAGGACAGCGCCATGGCTAGCTAGCCAGCGTAAAGTAGCTGCATGCGAGGTAACACTGACGCTGCCTTGCTGTGGGGAGGGAGCAGGTGGCCCCATTCCTGAGGAAATTGGGCCTGTTTTCCTGAGGGGCCCAGCCCCTGCCACCTCATTGGGTTCTGTGTCTGGAATGAAGAGGAGCCTGAGGAGATGGGGGAGGGCAAGGTGAGGCCAAGCAGCCCCATGGCAGCTTGGTGTCCCCATTTCCAGGGGGCAGCCCTGACAGAAGGGGGGCTCCAGGGGGAGGCAGGTACAGGCCCGCTCTTCGGAGCAAGGCCCAGTGGCGAGTTCTGTGTGCACAGAGCAGCAGCAGGGTCCACGTCTATGATAAGACAAAAGCCTAGTGCAGGGGTGGGGCCGCTGCCCCACAGAAATCAGTCAGGGGCCACAGAAAAGTGAGAAGCAAAAACAAAAAAAAAGAAAATCCAAACCAAACTCTCCCTGAGGCAAGCCCTGGCTGAGGAGGAGAAAGACGCTCCCCACGTTCTCCTCACACAGCAGAGCCCGAGGGGGTGGGCCCAGGCTAGTAGATTTTGTGTGCTCCAGTCCCACAGGATGGAGCACCATCATGGGTTCCCCAACACTGTTGGGGTGCCCTGAGCCTTGGGGGCTGGATCCACATCTGGCCCCTAGACCTGAGGTTCCCCACCCCTAGCTTAGCAGGTGACATACTGGTGGCCTCGGTCTTCGGGGCCATGAAAAGCTGTTGCCCACTGTGGCAAGTGACACAGCTGGGGAAGAGCTATAAAATCATGACAGGTGTGGAGACAGTGAATGAGGAAAAGTTATTTGCACTAGGGGGTCACCGCATAAAACTAATAGGTAGCGGATTTAAGACAAACAAAGGCAGTGTTTACTCACACCACACACAGCCAACCTGTGGAACTCCTTGTCAGAGGGTATTGTGAAGACCAGGACTTTTCCAGGGTTCAAAAAAGAACTGGAGGGTAGGTCCATCAATGGCTGTTAGCCAGGGTGGGTAGGAACGGTGTCCCTGGCCTGTTTGTCAGGGGCTGGGAACAGTGACAGGGGAGGGATCACATAGAATCATAGGGCTAGAAGAGACCTCAGGAGCTCACTTGATGGTTCCCTGTTCTGTTCATTCCCTCTGGACCACTTGGCATTGGCCACTGGGCTAGATGGACATGTGGCCCTACCCACTCTGGCCACTCTCATGTTCTTAAGTAAGGGCTCTGCTGGTAACTGACACGACTCTTTCCTTGTCCTTGTGATTGGGGCGGGGGGCATTGACACACTATTGGCAGGTGCAGGCAGCATGGGCCAATGGGTGAAGCATGGGGCTTGGAGTCAGGAGACTGGGGATCAAAGCACATCTGGGGGTGACCTAGCACAAGACACCTCCCGTCCCTGTACCTTTGTTCTCCTTCCCAGCTTCTGCAGAGCTATTTCACATAGGCAGGAAACGGGCGGTGAGCCTGGAGGTGGGGGTGAGACACCCTGGCAGCTATTCAAGTCAGCACCTTCCTTTCCATCCCAGAGCTCAAACAGGGCCCTCTAGCTTCCCCCATCTCTCCTTCGTGCCTCCCCCTCTTCTTTTCCAGGCTTTGAACACTGCCCTGGAAACCCAGCCCTGCCTCCGTGATGGAGACAGCTATGCAGAGCGCCAGCTCCTTGTTGAAATGCGCAAGTCCAGCCTGGAACGTGACTAGGTCAAAATGGTTCCTTCTCTCTCCACACGTCTGTCCTGCTTGCACCAGGGTGAACTGGGCTCAGAATTCATGCCTGCTGCTCTTTGATCCTGCAGGCCCAGCAGAGCCAGCTCAAGGAGAGGAGGGGGGTGTCCAATTCTGTGCCCTCACCACAGCGATTGGCCATGTTCCAACCAGTTGCACCCGTGCAAAGCCACTGCTGGCAATTTGGAGTTCCGAGATCTCATTCATGGGGCTAGATTGGCCCAGCAGGCACCTTATTATTGGCAACGTACAGGAGGGCAAAGAACCCAGTGCTGTTAATCCACCCCCTCCAAATCCAATCCAGGTGTTTGTGTTACTGTCCACTTTGCTGCGACACCCGGAGGCTCCAGCCACGATCATGCCCCTGTTGTGCTCTATGTACCGACTGAGAAATCGTCTGCATCGATGCCCTCGCCGCCACAGGTCCCCAGACAGAAAAAGGAAGACGTGGCCTCTGGATTTTTCCATCTGGGGAACTGAAACATGGATCCCAAGGGATCTGTAGGAAAGCCAGGCCTGTGTGCCACTCCCAGAACCACCCCTTCCTTTCTGGAGAAGACCTGGGCGCAGTCTTGCAGCCGGCTTCATCTTTGTAAGGGTCTTGGCTTAGTGGGGTGAGGGAGAGCATTCCCGGGTGAGCAGCAATAAGGGGAACCCAGCCTCCCCCTCTCCCCAGGGATACAATTTATTTAATAACGAAAAATACTGTAAGTGGACAACCGCTCGTTGGGTATTTTTAAAGCTACAAAAATAGACTTGGATCCTCAGTGCTGGCAGGAATGGAGCCTGGCTTTTCCTGGAAAGCATCAGAAAGGTGTATACCAGCCAGCATGCCAGTGGGGAGGGGCTACTGACCAGCCCCTCCCCACTCTGAACTGCAGGGCCCTGCCATGCGGATGGCATTGGGTTTCATGCAAAGATGGGCCCAGAGTGCTTAGGTGATCAGCCTGAATAACAGAACATGCCCGCTGCAGAACTGCTACTGTTGGCTGCAGGCACCAGCCCAGCCCCTCTAGATGTCAGCAGGTATCTGCTCAGACCTCCAGAGAGCTGTCATCCCAGGTGCTTCTCCTCATTAATTACGCTTCATTAGCGCTGGGATTTAGCCAGAGGCTAGCTCAGATTCTCTGGCACGCTGGATGGGATATGGGACATGGGGGACTGGATACCACCTTTCCTGGGCCCTGATCCCAAACCAGCTAGGGACCACTTGCTCCCAGCTGTGAACCAATGCAGCATGAAGCTGCTCTGTGTTCCACAAGGGCTGGGGGGCAGCTGGATGCTCCCTGCTTCTCTCCCCCCATTCCTCAGCTACAACCGGATGGAGAATACAGGCTTGGACAGCTACCACCAGAGGGGTTGTATGTACAGTTGTGGGTGCGGGGTGGTGAAAACAACAGGGCTGTGTGTTGTGCTCCCTGTAAACTGAGCACTTGGGCAGCCACCCAAGAGAGATTGCAATGCCACCCAGCTGACTAACAGAGCACTCACAGTGCCCATAGCCAACAGCATATGTTTCTATTGGTGGTGCACATCTGCATAGGGCTTGGTGCACATAACAAAATGTATTCCGCACATGGCTGGAAAAAATGAGAGGGAACATTGGCTGTGTGTTTTCTACCCGGTGCATTCACTCTTCCTTCTTTGAACATGTGTCTTTAAGGGCCTGATCTCAACCCAACACACAAACACCCTCCACATGTGCCCCTGCACCCCTCCTCTACCCTCCCCCCCCCCCCCCCCCTGGCCCTCACCTACACGGCTTAACACTTCACGTCCAGCACATTGGTGCACCGATGCAAACTCCTGTGGTAGTAGTGAGCGCATGCACTCATAATGCACACCAGCTGGGCTTTGCATGAGCCCCTCCTCAGACCAGGCCCAGCCATCCAGTGCCACTAAGAGCCAAAGGGAGAGGGACGCTGCAAGTTCCTGATTCTTTCCCCAGAGTCACCTACACGGCTTAACACTTCACGTCCAGCACATTGGTGCACCGATGCAAACTCCTGTGGTAGTAGTGAGCGCATGCACTCATAATGCACACCAGCTGGGCTTTGCATGAGCCCCTCCTCAGACCAGGCCCAGCCATCCAGTGCCACTAAGAGCCAAAGGGAGAGGGACGCTGCAAGTTCCTGATTCTTTCCCCAGAGCGCCCCCCACTCAGGACTCTGGGGAAAGCGGGATCCTTGGGGCTGCCGGGTGGAGAACTGAGGCGGGGCTCCTGGGAGGTATGGCAATCCAGGGAGATGAGGCTGGGCAAGCCCTTGGAGGAGCTGGACTGCGGCGGTTAAGTGACTTGCCAGAGGTCACCCGGGCGGGCAGGGGCAGAGCTAGGCAGTGGCCTGCTCCCCAGCCCCGCCCCTCCTGAGACCTCGGGCTGTTGCAAAGTGCTCAGGACGCCTCGGGGTCACCCTGGGTCCCTGCTTGCGCGGAGGGGGCTCGTGGCCAGCCGGCCCCAGGCTCGCCCCTCCCCCCGGCGCAGAACCTTGCGAACAGCTGAGCAGGCTCCTGGCTCAAGCCCGGCCCGGCCCGGCCCGGCCCGCGGGAACATGGCAGGCGCTGTGACCCAGAGGAGCCGCTTCAAGCCGAGGCGTCCTCCCTTCCCCCCTGCCCTGCACGCAGGGAGCTGGCGAAGGGGCAGCGAGCCCGGGGAAGCGAGGCGAGCTCCCCGGCGAGCCCGAGCGCGGGGCCAGTGAGCTCGGCCCCCGGCCCGCCCCCGCCACCTGGCCGCAGCAGAGCCCCCGGGGCCGGGGCCGCTGGATGGGAAAGCGCCCCCCGCGCAGCGCCGCGGCTCGTCCTTGGCATCGGACCGCGGCGAGGTGAGGAGCCGGGCTGGGAGGCTCCGGGCCAGGGGAAGCCCCCGGACAAGGCGCCAGCCGGGCGGGGGGCGCAGGTGGCCCCCACGGGCAGGAGCTGAGCCCATCCCCGGGGCCATAAAGTTCCAGCTGGGGGCGGGGGGTCCCAGCAAAGGAACAAACCAGGAATCCAAGTTGGAATTGTGCAGCGCAGGCAGCTGGGGGGCAGCGAGGCCGGGGGGCCTGGGACAGGACAGGGGGAGAAGCCGGTAAGTG